TAAGGCACTTGACTGCTAACCAGAAGGCTGGCGGTTCAAACCCACCAGCCACTCCTTGGAAGGAAAGTTGGGCAATCCTACTTCTGTAGTGATACCACCTTGGAAACCCAAGGAGGGGTTGCTTTGAGTCGGGGCCGACTCAACGGCATATAACAACAACAACTGATCTGGTACAGCCTGGTGAGACCCACAAGACTATGGCTCCTAGTTAGCCTTCAGGTCTGGAACTGAATTCACACCTGTGACTTCCAGCCAAAGAATAGACAGGCATATAGGGTGAACATTCACATCAGGTAGACACGCTCGTTAGAGTGATCAGTTGTGGGAAAACAGAAGGGCAGTGTTTGCACAGGGAGATAGCTCAGGAGGCAGGAATGCATAGGAAAGAAAAACACAAGGAAGAGATACCAACAGGAAGGAAGTGGAAAGAGAGTTGTTACATTATGGGGAATTGCAGTCAGTGCCATAAAACAAAATGTGTATGAACTGCTGTATGGAAAATGAATTTGCTCTCTAAACTTTCACCCAAATCACAATAAAATTAAAAAAAAATTATAGTAGAGTTCAGAAATCCCAGTCAGAGAATGAGATGTACCAAATGCAACAGCTTCCCACAGGCAATACGTGTTATTTCATGTCTCCTGTATACAAAGTGGGAGCTCTGGTGGTGTAGTGCCTAAGGCATTTGACTGCTAACCAGAAGGCTGGCAGTTCAAACTCACCAGCCACTCTTCAGAAGGAAGGCTGGGCAATGTACTTCCATAGTGATACTGCCTCAGAAGCCCAAGGAGGGGTCGCTGTGAGTCGGGTCCGACTCGACAGCAGTGTGTTTGGTTTTTGGTTTATTTTGTATACAAAGTGATTGCATTGCCAGGCGTATAATGGTGTAAGTACATATATAACATACGTATATGCCATATGTCTTTATAACAAACCAAGAAAAACCCACTGCCTTTGAGTCAATTCTGACTCATAGTGATCCCCATTGGGTTTCTGAGGCCATAAATCTTTATGGAAGTAGATTGCCCAGTCTTCCTTCTGCAGAGTGGCTGGTGAGTTTGAACCACCAGCCTTCTGGTTAGCAGTCAAATGCCTTAGGCACTGTGCCACCAGAGCTCCTTTATGTCTTGATAGTCACAGTAAATACTTTTGTTACTAGTGTATGTATGTATATTGTACTTTCTATCTAAAAAGTTTACTGTGTAACAGTGTATACTTCAACTCATATACAGCAGCATTATTGCACATCTCTTGAATATTGTAGCATATGTCTCTGGTTTAATCTTCTTTTGAAAATATTACCATGGCTCCCAGATGCAGCAAAACCAGTGCTAGTGGTAGCAGCAAGAGGTAAAGAAGAAGTATCAATTTGGAAGTGAAATAAAAGGTTATTAAACAACAAGAAAGTGGAAAATCAGTAAATGATATTGTTCACAATTTAATGTTGCATTCCAACAACCATAACAATCTTCAATTCATGAAGCTAATAAAGGATTGGCTCCACTCAGTGCTACAAGGTTAATGAAAATGTGGGAGGAAGCTGTATCAGATATGAATAAATTGCTGATGACATGGATTGAGGACCAAACACAAAAGTGGATCCTTCTCAGCACGTGGACAATCACTGCTGAGGCCTAAAGCTTGCTTGAGATGCTTGAAGAAAAAGCAAGACCACTCTACAATATGGTGTTCACACAGTGTTCAAATCACAAAACGTCCTATTTCATACAATGTATCATGGACCTTAAGTGACATGTGACTATATTGCAAAATAGCATACTACTATCTCCTACTTTTTTATTACAAAATAAAGTTCAGGTACAATGACCAGAATACTCATTTTTTTGCAAAAGAAAAATACATAGCTTATCTTTACATTTTTAGGTGCTTTGCTGTAAGTGAACCTCTTTCTTGTTCTCGATCTCATTACAAGAAAATGATAGACTCGTTATTGACATCCCAAGGGATATAAACAGTAGTCCTGATATGCTAAAAGCAAAGGCAGAAGGTCAACACCTTGAGTGAAAGAAGCCAGACAAAAAAAGGCTACCTGCTGTATGATTTCATCTATGTAAAATTGCAGTCAATGCCAACTATATAGTGACATCTGTGGATGAGTAGGAAGGGAGTAAGGAGGGGAGGGAGAATGGATTACAGAGGATCAGGAGGACACTTGAGGGTGGGGGCGGGGGATATGCCCATAATCTTGATTGTGGTGAAGCTTTCATAGATGTATATTGATATCAGAACTTACCCAATTGTTCAATTTAAATATGTACACTTTATGATATGTCAAATTATACCATAATAAAGCTGCTTAAAAACAAAACAAACATAAGAAATAGAGATGATTCACTCATGCAGTTTATTGTGTGCAAGACTAATATACCATGTACTGGAAGAGAGTTCTGAGAAAGATTGAAGACCTGGCCTCAAAAGAGCCCACAGTTTATTGAGGGAGTTGGACAAATAAACAGTTTAAACCTAGGATGCTGAGTGCGAAGAAAAACAAAAATGCAGGGAACAGGAGGAGTCCAGAACATTGGTGCCATTGGGTGTCTGTTCTGGGGAGAGGTCAGGGAAAGCTTTACGAAAGAGGGGAACCCAAAAAAGGTCAGGGCTGGTCAAGGGAAGGAACCTCTCTGTCAGAAGGGACAGTGTGAGCAAAACTGGTGGGATTCCAGTTCCAGGAACTGCATGTGGTTCGACCTGACACAATGGGAAAGCAATAAGAGGCGAGGCTGGAGAAGTTGACCAGGCCAGATCACGAAGGGCTTTTGCTACCCTGACAGTCCTTGATCTCTCCAAATCTGTGATCTTGGGACATGGTCCCATCCAAACACTTGGCTTTTCCAGGTTCCAGGTTTTGAGGCTGTGATACTCATAGCTGCTCAGTTCTAGCCTGGGAGCTCTTACATTCCCTAGGGATGTTTCAAGACCCAAAGGAAAGAGAGAGTTGGTTTAGATCTCAGCCTTGCAGCTGCACCTGGAAGTGAAGGCTTCTATTGCATTTGAATGTTGGAGGCAACCAACAAACCAGTCGCCCCAAAAACAGTTTTTCCACAAGTGAAGAACTTTGCCTTTCTGACTGGCGGCACTGAACCCTGAAGTCCTGTGTCTGGCAAAATGACTGTCTCGTGTGCAGTGGTCTGTGCCCTGTCTTGTGCTCTCCTACCTTCTGGTCATCTGTTAACCAGTCAGCCCTGAATTATTTCAGCCACTGAATAACAGAGGTCATGGTAGTTGCTTTGCTCATTCATTCATTCATTCTAGATTGGCTTTGCAGAGAAAACTAAGATGTTTAATTCCGGATACGATTGTCAGACCATATTAAAAATGCAGGCAGCAATGCAGAACATGGTTGGCTCGTGTCAGCCAGACGTCCCAGTGTAACCAGAGCAGGAAGACATGGAGGGGGCCTGTGTTAATGGAAGTAGATGTCAAATTGCATGGCAAGCTCTGGCTCCTGTTTCAGCTGCCTTACCACCCTCCTGCTGGAAGAAAGCAGCTCAGGTTTAAACTAGAGTTTAAAATGGGATTCCTGCTTAATGAGCATTTCTGTGATCTAACGATCAAGTTGCTTACATCTCAAAAGGAGAGCACCCATGCTCGAATTTAGGAGAATTGTGACTCATGGCATCTAGGGTCGACTAGAAGGGGAGATGAGTGAGAGGTGAGGATTTGGTAGCTTCTTTGTGTTGGGGCTTCTTTGCGTGCGTTCTGCAGAGCTGAACCGAGAATGTGAACAAAAGCGAGTGCCTGCATTGGTTTCCATGCCCTAGCCAATCTTAGGAAAGCTGTGACCTGCACAGATGGCTCCGATCAAGTGGGATCGGGAAAGGCCAATTTGGATTAATTATCTCAAGTGGATTAATTATATCAGGAGGTGCTAGGAGAGAATAAGTTTTTGATGATGCTGTGGACTTTGGTGTGGTTTTATTTTTCACATTGTCACCTGGGCTGGTGGAAACACTCCAGGTGTGGGCGCTCTGAGCTCCGTAACTGTTTATTCTGCCTGCTCCTCCCCCCATGCCATCTGCCAGCTGGACTGATAACTGGCCCTGAGCTCCCTTTTGCTGTGTCAATTCTGGAAGGTCATGATTGTTGTGATTTGGGACTGATTTCCGGAATGGGTGGGTGAAGTGGATATCTAACTATGGATTTGTTTTCTTACATTTCAGTCGTTCCAAGGAAGTCAAGGACGTGCATACCTCTTTAATTCAGTGTGAGTGTCTGTAAATGGTGCATCCATTTTTTATGTAAATTTCAAGGTATGGGGCAAAACAACCCTGGACAATAATTAAACAATGGTCTCTGCCTTCTCTGCCACAATTAAAAACTACATAGAGTATGACTCTCCCCAGGTCAGTCACTTTTGGGGAATTTTTTGGGCAGCATCTTTGGCTAAAAATAATATATCCATGTCCCTCAGTAGGTACATTGGGATCAAGGCAGAGGCTGTTCATCTTAGCATCTTCAGCTGCATTTAGTCCTCGTGATGTGGTTCTCATTTAACTAAGATTTGAGTCCCTGGGCTCATGGCTATAGACTTCACACTTTGGATGGTCGTTTGTTCCCTTAACTGATAAGGTTAAAAGCATCTGTTAGAAAAATTACATAAATTACATACAATTACATAAATTCCAAGCCAAGTCTCAGCCATGCAGACTTATTTTTAGTCAACCCACTGGCTCAGAACTTCAAGATATGAAATTCATTCAAATGGAGACATTTCCATGTGACTATATTTTGGAGTTATCAATATCAGTTATATACCACGCTTTTCTCAATGTTGTCTTCTCAGCCTTGTCCAGTTAGTTTTTTGTTGGAAGCTCAGCTGGAATGACTGGCTAATGATGGACTTGTGACTGACTATCTGCTCTTTCTTTCTGTCTCTGGTGTAGAGTTAACGTGGGCTGTGGGCCTGCAGAAGAGCGAGTGTTGCTAACAGGACTGCATGCAGTTGCAGATATTTATTGTGAAAACTGCAAAACCACTCTGGGCTGGAAATATGTAAGTACTCAGAAGTGTAGGTGATGGAGAGAGGCCTAGGAAGGGAAGAGCTGACAGCCTGATAGTAGAACATGCTCTCTTCTTGCTTCCCGTGACCATGTGGGTCTATCTTAGGCCGAGTCAGGGAACTCAGCTCGAAGAATGGATCCTGGCACACTCGCCTGACTGCCAGCCTCATTCTTCGCTTTTCACTGGCACCCCCTTCCTCCTACAACAAAATAAAAAAAATAATAGCACATAGCGTATTGACATAAGGCATGCATTATTTTGTTTACCCTTCACAGAAGTCCTAGAGGGTAGGTACATTATAAAACAGGTTGTATCCCTGTTTTGGGAGCTCTGGTAGCGTAGTGCCTGAGGCATTTGACTGCTAACCAGAAGGCTGGAAGTTCAAACCCACCAGCCACTCCTTGGAAGGAAGGTTGGGCAATCTACTTCCGTAGTGATCCCTCCTTGGAAACCCAAGGAGGGATCACTATGGGCCGTATCCAACTTGACAGCAGTGAGTTGCTTTTTTTTTTTTTTAATCCCTGTTTTATAAATGGAGAAACTGAGGCTTACGGAGGTTAAATAGTATGTCCGAGATTATCTAGCCATTAAATGATCGAGCCAAGAATGAAATCAATTCAGTAGAGCCCATACTGTTAACCACTCCACTTTGATTCTCCAGTAAATGTTCCTAGAACATCTTCTAGTTCCTAGGCTCTGTGCTAGGCACCATCAAACATTATCTTAATTAATCTAAACACACATACCACAAATACACACACACACACGCACTTTTATTAGACACCTGTTTATTGAAGACCTTGTGCCAGACAATCTTTTAGGCACTAGTGATACAACAATGAGCAAAACATATGAACCTCTCTGCCGCCATTAAGTTTATCTCCTAGCAGTGGGAGAGACAAGCAATAAACAAAATATAAGCATATTATAGTGTATATTTGATAGGTATAAAGTACTTTGGGAAAAATAAAGCAGGGAAAAGGGGCAGAGTGAGTGATAGGGTTGGAGTTGTGATTTTAAGGAATGTAGTCGGGAAAGACCTTGCTGAGTTGAGAAAAAGTGATAGCTGTTCTGGTTATCCATGGAGTCAGAGGACTGGCTAATGGAAAATCTTACATAGCCCTTCCTCGATGCCTCCTTATTGTCCTGAGCATCAAGGAAGGGCTATGTGAGAGTTTCCATTAGCCAGTCCTCTGACTCTATGGATAACTAAGAATGGCAGTCATTTTTTCTCAACTCACCTAATATGTATTCATCACCTCTTATATGCCAGGCCCAGTGCTCTGTTTTTCTTCTACCTCTCACAACAATCTTGCAGAGTAAATATAATTATCTCCATTTTGCAGATAGGTGATTGAATGATGGGAAGTGGTAGAATCTGAATTCAGTCTTGGTGTTTAGACTCCAGATCTAGTGCTCTTTCTCCTGGAGTCTAGTTCTGACTGATGCCTGTGAAGCTTAGAGCTGTTGAATTTTATTTTTCCTTTTGTTTTTTGCTTAGTAAAGATGCCCTCATTCTCCTGATTTTGCATTCTTCTCCCCTTAACCTTGAACACTCTAGTATGTGACAACAGGTCATTCCTGATCCTGTTCTTCTCTTCTGTTGTGTGTACACACACACACATGCACACACGGAGCTGGGGAATAATGAAGTGTCAGGGAAATTACTGCTGAGCCCACAGATCTTGTGGTGTGTGATGTGTTTGCATATTCTCATTTCCCTGCTTGTCCCTTGTCCATTTTGTGGAATAATTGCCTCTCAAAACAAGAAACCCAAGTCTGAAGTCTTTTTCTAAAACTCAGAGCCCCTGAGCTTTCGAGCAAGAGATGTAGTTCATACAAATGCTTTCCTACTGTTGACAGTAGGATTGGATCCTTACTAATTCAAGGGACTCGACAGGAAGAGCTGATGTCTACCCTTGTGCACATTGGACTTACTCATGTAATGATTCCGATGACTGGTGTTTTTCAGATGATACATCAGGGTGTTCTTATGGACCTATCTCTGTAAATATAATAGCTCCTTTATCTTGCACCTATGCAGGACTTCATTCTGTGGGGCTTATTAGAAGGAGAGCCCACAGTGCTGTAAGTTTAGAAAGGTAACCTGCCAGGTGGTTTATATTGAGCTTTCCCTTGGGAATCCTGGCAGTAGAATGGGTCCGGAGGGCTGCCAGCTTCTCCAGTCTGGAGTTCATACAGTTCCTGTCTTCCCTGGAGAGAGGCAGTGAAGGGAAAGCAGACTTAACATGTCTGACATAGAAACAGCAAGATAAACAGAATAAAAAGGAGACCACTTGGCTTCACAGTACTTTGCTTCTCTTGCCGAATGCCTTTTCTCTAAGCATAAGAAAGTACAGTTTAAAGTGTAATCAGACTTTCCTGGGTTCCTAGAAACTGGTGGGGTGACATAGAATCTTTATGTGGATATATCTATAGGGAATGCTTATGGTTAACATCAGAAAGCAAAATATCCCCTAAGGTTTTATATACGTATGTTTATGTGTATATATGTACACACATACATAAACACACATGCACTCATTTACCGGACAGCTGTTTATTAAAGACCTGTTTGCCAGGCAATCCTTTAGGCATTAGTGATACAACAATGAGCAAAATATGACAATCTCTGCCTCTGTTAAGTTTATCTCCTAGTAGTGGGAGACACAGGCAATAAACAAAATACACACAAATTACAGTGTAGGTTAAGGGTAAAGTGCTTTGGGAAGAATAAAGCCAGGAAAGGAGGCAGAAGGAGCGGTAGGCTGGAAGCTGTGATTTTGAGGCATATAGTTGGGAAAGACCTTACTGAGATAGTGACGTTTGAGCAAAGACTTGAATGAGCAGATATCCTGCGGAAAGTTTATTGTAACATTGAGAAAGTGTTGTCTGCATCAGTTATGCAGGTAAGTGAAGGGGACTTGGAGTGCTTGAGAGAGAGAGGAATTCTCCCAGTGAGTCTGGGTGGAACTGAGACCCAACCTCAGTAGTCTTGACCCTGTTATCGGGACTGCCTCTGCTTCTCTGCTACCAAAGTCAACTGCTTATCTTTGGTCATTCAACATCTTTTCTCTTCCTCTGTTTTCTAGGAACACGCCTTTGAGAGCAGCCAGAAGTATAAAGAAGGCAAATACATCATTGAGTTAGCACACATGATCAAGGACAATGGCTGGGACTGAAGGGAGAAGTCCCCCCAACCCAATGTCCATGTGAATGCCATCCAACTGAACATTCTACCCAAGCGTGAGAGAGTGACTGAACACTTGGTTCCATCCATTTAGAGGCCTTGCCATCTGGGGCATCCTCCCACCCTGATGACATCTTTCTGGTGACTGGCCTCTAAATTGCTGTCTCTCTGTCTCTTTGCTTTGTATCTGTTTGTGAGTTGATCCTGGCTTCTCTCTCTGTTCTAATGTTGGCTAAAAACAACACAACAAAAGGAACAGATGCCCGACTGCGTGGTGGCAGCCCACTTTGATAGAGGCCCCAGGGCCCATGCAAGAGCTGCCCAATGGCCTCTTGTCAGGAGTGCAGTGGCACAGGAGTGAGAGGAAGAAGGGAAGAGGGGAACCCTGAGGGTCCTGGGAGTGGTTAGGGGGTGGGAGGGTGGGAGTAGGGACAAAATTGTGCTGCTCCTAGAGACCTGTTCATCTAGGCTTGAAATAATCAACTTGTCTAAAAGGACAAAGAGAAAAATACCTCATGACTGCATTCTCTTCGACCAGAAGCTTCTGTTCCTGACACCAAATGTGCAAGGTTAGCAGATGAGCACAAGAAGTGGCCCTGATTCTAGCTGATGAGGCAAGGCCCTGGTTCTCCTGGGCTGAGTTGGGGAGTGTCCGGCAACCATCGATGAATTGGGTGGAAGCCAGATGGGTTTTGATGACTCTGATGCCTTGTTGTGCCTCGGGGTTCTCTTCTTCTTTGCCTCTTCAGCCACTGTAGGTGAGGGGAGAGGGGACTGCCATTTGCCATTGGGTGCAAGATCCAAATATCCCAAAGGCTTTGACTACCAACCAAGTAACATCTGTAATTAAGGAGAGCAGGGAACAAAGGGGGCTGCAGTTTGGGAGCTCCTGCAGAAATGGCTCAAATATGGGGCCTAAAACTGAAAAGTAGAACCAGTTAGCAATTCTGCCTGTCTGGCCTTTTTTTTTTTTTTTTTTGACCCTTGTAAGAGCAGTGTGGCAAGGAATGAGGTGTTGTGGGCAGCGCCTGGAATAGTTTAGATTCAAATCATTATAAGTTAGATGCAACTTTCCTCTTTGGGGTGTGCATTGGCTTCAGTGGGATCAGCAATTCTTTGTACACAGAGTTTTGGGGTGTTTCTCTCCATTTCTATCGATGTAGATTGTGGAGAACATAAGCCCAAGGCTTTGAGCTTAGTGATAAGCTGGTAGGTGGAGTCTTCATGCTCCTAGTTGTTCTCCTTGGACTTATGCTTGTGTGGAGAAAAATCTGTTGGTGTGGTCCAGCAGTGGTGTCAAACTTCAAGTTACAAATTTCCATATTATCTACCTGACCCTTCATCTCCCTACCCAAACTTCATGATATTATGAAAGTGGAGGACAAATCCTCATAAGCCTCATGAGAGAAAGTGGGCTTTGTTACATTTAATCAATGCTGTGAAGTCTATTTTACAGCAGTCCGGCCAGTACAGTGCATGATGCAAGACTCATTTAACTGAGTTCATTTCATTTCTTAGACTGAAAATATTATTGTTAATACGTGTATGTTAGGTAGTTCCCAGCATCTCATTCTCCAAGTAGGCTGATCCTATGGAAAACTTTACCTTAAAAGTCACAAAAGAGTAAGTTCATGGAGATGAGAATCTGAAATTGATTATGATTAAAGCTGACAGCCCAGGACTTTTCGGAATTGCCTCTGCAGCTGAACCAAATTTCTGCCTTTTTGTATCTCTGTGCTGATTGCAAAATGGGAGATCTGGGAAGAGTGTGGTCCTGCCTGCTGGTAATAAAAGGCAGGACTGACAGAAAGCGAGGTAGCTGCAGGTTAGCACTTCTGCTTTAACACAAAAAGGATTCTTCAAAATCGAGTTTCTTCCCAAAGGCTTCTTGACCAGCTCTTCCCTGTGTTTTAGCAGCCCTGGAGATTGAGTGAGTAACCTGTTCTCCCCATTTAAGGAAAAGCAGACTGAGGTTCAGAAGTATTTCCTTTCTGCTCCCAGAGTCACCTTTCTTCTGGCTTCCAGGTTCCAAGATCTCAACAAAAAGCATTTTCAACTTTCACATTCCTAAGCTGGCTTGCCAACACAGAAATCATGCCCCTACCCCCATCCCACCACTCCCCACCTCCATATCTCCCCTGAAGGAAGTAGCCGTTGTTAATGAATTTTGATTAGCTTCTTTGCTCAGGGTAAGTCCAGACTGTTAATACTCTGTTCCATGAAAAGAAAATGAGGGTTAAATGCAGTGATAGATACTGGACATGGGGTGCTCTAGCGTTTTCAAGGGACAGAGAAGGAGACCAACGTGCCACTCTTTTTTTCTTGTGGGTGGAGCCTCTGGTTGCTGCAGGATAAGCACAGGCTCCAATCAGACCCTGGTTCTGATTTTATTAAATTAGTATCAATTGAGCATCCAATGGGTGCATGGTGCCATACTTGGTGTGAGAGATCAGACCAGAATATTGTTTTCTGAAACTGCAGGAAAGAAAAATTCATTAGGCTTTCCCTTTGTGTCAATGAAACCAAAAGTGCTTCTTATGACTTTAGCTCCATTCATGGCTTGTCTATCTAACATCTAGGAGTATTGGAGAGGCCACAACTGAGCGATAGAGATGTGTCAAATCATGGCCTCAATCAGTTCATTCTTTAATTCATTTCCTCACCAAATTATCAACTCAGAGCATAACCAAAGACCTCATCCATTCACCCCTGGTAGATTCAGGGAATTGGAGTTTGCTTGGGCAGGGGGGAGGCAGATAGGGAAATGGAGAGATGAGAAAGGGAAAGGCAAGAAGTTTTATACCTCAGCCAGCAGCTGCCTTCACTTTGAACTGAAGTCTAGCCAGCAGACTCTATGTACTTCCATTTCCCTTGTGCCAGCCTAGGTGGTGTGGCCTTGACTGCCATACATTACATCCAGATCCCCCAGGACATTAGTCTCTGGCTGCTGGTGGGTTGATTTGACATTGAATCATGTATAACTGAACTTGATGCCCACAGGTTCTCAGCTGGGCCTGACTGCGTACTGCCCTAACTCCTATCTCAGTAAGATCACTAAAGTCAGTTTGCAGTGGTGGACCAGTGTGTGCAAAAGAGATGTCCCCTTGATAAAAATCATTTTCAAGTGGATCTATGTAAAGAAACAGTCGCTTGTGAAATATACTTTTGTAAATAATATTTAATTTTTTAAATAATATATTTGGTGCTGTTTTCTCAGATCCCCTGAGAGCACTTTTTGTTTTTGTTTGTAGATTCTATGGTTTCCTCTGCATTTCTTACAGTCTATTTTAAGGGAAACATCGATCACCAATATACTTTTATTTTTAAAGATCTATCATCTTAGTCTGGATCGAGGTGATAAAACAATGCCTCTGCTTTTTTTCCAGTGGAACAGACTCTGCAGTACATTACCATGTTAAAAATTGAAATATTTTCTTGCACCAGTATTGGCTAGAAAAGAAAATAAATGAAATCAAGTAAACTTAGCAACAGCTGAGTGATTCTTCTTGTTGGAAGAATTTCCAACTATTGGAATCTTGTTTTTTAATTGTGTGTGTGTGTGAGGGGGAAGCACTTTGGATTGTGCCTCCTGTTTTCCTGTTTTTTTGGGGACACTAACTACAGTTTACACCTTGGGCTCATAAGATTTTTCTTCCCTTTCTCTGTGGTTGTTGTTTCTGAGTGGACCAACAGCACAAACCATGAGGCTCTTGTTTTCCTGAGCAGGGAGCTGTTAGCAATTTGCTCCTTTTCTTTCTCTGCGTGCTCAACTTTTACAAGCTGTAAAGGAAATGTGTTGTTTGGAAGATCAAACAGCTCAAATCTGTGCTTCTCACTGAGATGTGAGTGTATTAATCATGTGTCCCAGGGCTCCAGTTGTTTTAGAAGCTAATCATGTTAAACTATAACTGCTTTGGGTTCAAAGACCATTAATGAAAAATACACATACCTTGTTAGGTAGACAGCTTTTTTTCTTTTTTAAGGTTAGTTTGCCTCAGCTTCAGGAAGAGGCTGGGAAATCAAATCTTGAACAAAATCAACTTCCGTATTTTAATAGAATCTGCCTCAGATGAGAAACGTGCTAGAGGTCTAGGTAGAGGAAAGAAACATTTAACTTTTAAAATTAAAATACAGTCATGAAATATACTGGTAGTGAAAGGCATAAACCCAAAAGAACCAGGCTGTTCTTGTGTTACCAAATTCTATCTGCCCTATGTTTTTGTATAATATTTTGGTGAAAGTGAGAGTCAGTCCCTTTTTCCAACCTGCAGAGACTATCTTTCAATACAGAATCTATTTATGCTTGTGTTTACAAACTCTAATTGTTAGATTCTGGGTTGGTTTTTGTTTGGGGGGGTTTTTGTTTTTGTTTTTGGGTTTTGTTTTTTTTTTTTTTTTTCATTTTTCAGGTCACTTTGCTTCAATAACAAAGTTAATTGTTTTCAAATAATTTGTCTTCACCTTTTCCTGTATTTGTACATAGTGATTGAGTATTAGAGAAAAGTGCATTGTTTCTGTCATATTTCCAATCTGTGTTGGTGCTCATTTGAGAAAATAAAGTTTTCAAATACGAACTCTTTGAAGGCCTCGTCCATTGTCATTGACTCAGCCTGTGTTTTCTTGATGTTTAACATTCAAAGTGCTGAAGGGTCTGCAGGAGGTCATCTAGTCTACCCCAGTTCACAGACCTGACACTGAAGACCCGAAGGGGTTATTTCCCCCAAAGACAGCCAGCCAATTAATGAATAAAAATCAGCCTCTTGCTTTTCAGCAAACACCTGTCCTTACTTTAGCTATCAGAAATGCAGAAGTGACTTTTTTCCCAGTTCTAAGCTCTATATTCTGCAAGTTATTTTGATGACACCAGTTTCTTTGGTGGAGATAGGATTTCATGAGTGTGGAGTGAGGGGAAGAAGTAAACAACAAAATCATCTCAAAAGGGGGTGATGCCTCTGACCCAAGACATTGTATTTTCAGTCACCACACATGCATACAACAGCTGGACAATGAAAAAGGAAGACCAAAGAAGAATTGATACCTTTGAATTGTGGTGTTGGCAAAGAATATTGACTATACCGTGGACTGCTAGAAGAATGAGCGAATCTGTCTCTGAAGAAGTACAGCCAGTATGCTCCTTAGAAGTGAAGATGGTGAGGCTTCATCTCTCGTACTTTGGACATGTTTATCAGAAGGGACCAGTCCCTGGAGAAGGACACCATGCTTGGTAAAGTGAAAAACAAAC